GACATATATAATAAAATCACATGATTTTAAGTTTTCACTATATATAATCACCATAGTATATCTTTTATATAATTGGTAATTATAAATGGGTTTACTATATATAATCACTGTAGTATATCTTTTATATAACTGGTGATTATAAATGGGTTTTATTTATAATCATCCCTATCTATAATCATGTAATTTTTAAAAACCAAAAGAGGTGATTATAGATAGGTCTAACTGTATTAATAATATTTAGGATTCTGTGACTATTTTACTATATCAGTTTAATTTTAAAGCTTTAATAATTCTATAACCTTACTATAATAATAATTTTTGTAATTTAATTGCCTGTTATTTAAATAATCAAAGTTATAACTATTCTTTTTTACAATATACTCAAATAATACTGAAATATAATTTATTTTATAAATCCCAAATGGATTTACTAAATTACTTATTGGAATTAATGTTCTATTAATAAAATAATATACAGTTCCTGTCAAAAGTAATGGCAGTGAGGATATTGCTTCTTATGTAAACTACAGCAACTCCGTTATCCCAATTTGGTTCATTGTTTATTAGACTAAATTTGATAATAGAATGTTTATATAAAAATAAACAATAAAAAAAATAAATTAAAACCATTTTGTACTTTTTATTACTTACTGAAATCATAATACCATCAACATCTATTAAAATGAGTCACAAAGTCATAAAGTTCCTTTGGAATAGGAACATACAATATTTGGGTTGTTTTTAAAAAAAATTTGAGAAAAATATTAAAATATTAGTTACACAAATAAAATTTCAAATGAAATTTTTTTAATGAAGAAATGGGATAATCTTGATAATTCTATATTACTTAACTGTATTCATAGCATACCTAATTGAATTCAAGCATGTATTGATGCAAATGGAAGACACACTACATATTAATTATCTAATAAAATTTATAAATATTGTTTTTATCTTTATTTTAAAAAAAAAAATTACCTATATTTGATATAAAATTACATGTATAAGGTTAAAAAAACTGTTCACTATTACTCTGTATATTATCACAATAGTTGGTTTCTAATGTAAACTCTGTAAACTCATTGAATAACCATTGTATATTAAAGTTTTTTATAATTAAGTATTTGTATTTATTAGCTTATGATTGTTTGATTGAACAATCTCTTTGATTGTGACATAATCTCTCTCTTTTTCTTATATTTTTATATTTTTCTTACAGAATCCAAATACTCATCCATCCAGCTAGAATCTCTCTCTTTTCTTATATTTTCTTACAGATTTCCAATATTCATCAATCCAACTAGAATCAATAAGGAAGGAGAAATAGATTTTGCTATCATTTTTCCGAGCGTTTGAGCAGTGTATAAGAATTATAGCAATTTAGCAGTTAATAATAGTTTTTTCAAGTTTATCATTTTTGTGATGTTTTGGGCATAGGAAAAAAACAGAAACAAAAAATATGATTATTTGAGACCACGGTGACATAGTAATATGTAATGCAAGATCATTTTATATTGCTCTTATTATATTTTTATAAGCAAAGAAAGATTTACACCGTAAAAACCACAGAAATAATATTTTATAAGCATTTGACTTTGATCATCTCATAAAGAACTATTCGACCTCATTTAACTTATAACAGAGATCTTTACAAAGACTTTCACGGAGGTTTCGGATGCTTTCACGAAGCTCTTCAGAAAATTCTTCACGGAGACTTTCACGAATATCTTCAGAAAGTTCATCGTGAAGAGTTCTACGAATCTTTTCAGAAAGTTCTTTGCGAAGTGCTTTAAAATTTTCATCATGACTATCTTTCTAATCGAACTTGATTTCAATTGCAACAGACTTTGCTGAAAATGAGAGTAAAAATCAGGAATTTGATTATATTAGAAATAAGCCACGACAATATTATAATTACTTACTCGTTTTATTATGAATGTTATTAATTAAGATTGCTTGGTCCTATTTCTAATCCGCATTCTTGAAATTCTTCCTTTGTAAATGTAGGAAAAGAGTAGCCAGTGACTCCTTGCGAACGTAGAATATCAAAGTGTTTTTCACACAAAAATAAGTTTTGTTCTTTCAAGAACTCGATTAGTCTTTCTGAATTCCAGGTTTTAATTATTTCGATTGATAGAAGACTAGTTTTGATCTAGCATATCCAGATTACATGTTAGCGAGTTTATCTATGCAACTTTGAAGTATTACAAGTAAGCTTACCTTTTTCTCTCGCACTTCATGATCATCACGGTTTTCTAGACTGCGTTTTTGGGTATCTTCATTAAATTGTTTTTGAAAAATATCTACTTGTTCTGCTGAATTTTTAATTGCACGGAGCTGTTGTTTAGCACAGATTATCCCAATCTTATTGGATATTTCGTTACCATTTAACTGTCTTTTATTCATCTTGAACGCAGAAGACCAATTCTTGTTAAAAACAGAATTAATCATCTCGTAAGCCCTGATTATATAAAGTGAAACAAGAATATCTGTCCACAAGGGAGATTTATTGAAGAATTTAGCGCTAACTAAGAGTTAAGGCTATAGTTGCAACTAAGAGTCCCAACCTACTCCCTTGGAATCATCCTCAACTAAGAGTTGGGCTATCCGCTGTAAATTAAGAGTTTCAGCAACCTCTTTGAAAAAGAAGGTTTATGAACTAAGAGTTCTTCTCAAAGGACTTCAATTCTTCTTATTAAATTTATTAAATCAACTCACCGACCAATTATTAAGTATAGTTTGTGCTTTATTCCTACGAGTTAAATCAAATTCTGAATCAGCCGTAACCTTTTGAAGGTCTTTTTTGATTGTATCAAGGGTTTTCGCTCTTTGTTGTAAAGTTATTATTTTTTCTCCGCGGTAATGATCTATTATATTTGCACGCATCCATTCCTTAACAGGGGTATTTTTGTAATAGTTCATCGTTTGGAAAGTTGGAAGCATATGGAAAGTTTTTTTTTATTGGTTGGAGATCATGATTGGAGATCATGATTTAATAATCGGCAAATAAATTTACATGATTATAATACGCATTTCGTCAATCGTTTTATGCGATCTACATAGATTTTCCCCACTGAGATGGAAAAATTTTGAATGAATCTATAGCATCAAAAATAAAATTTTTGGAGTATATAGATAACATGTTTAGAAGTGATACATACATAATTGATTGATACGAAAAGATTTACATCTGATCATCTTATCGTTATAATCAGATCGATCATACATAAAATAAAATCAGGAGAGAAAAATTTTTTCACGCGTTAAAATACCATTTACTATTTTCGCGTTAAACAGATGTCTCTTCAGATAAACATATTAGATACTAATTATGTTAATGAGGAAAATATCATTTATGAAGAAGACCTTATTTCTGAGGTAACCTTGCTATTTATATGTATATATTTATAAAGTAAACTATACTATAATAAAAAAATTATTTAACCATAAAATATATATTACAAAAAATATAAATATTAAAATAATTATTCATTCATTAACTCCGATAGAATATCCACCAACAAGTGAAGAAGGAACTGCTATAATTTACCATGTTGAAGGATGGAAAAATATAGAAATGGCGTTTGTAGATGTAATATTTATTTTAAATTATTTAATATAATTAGAATAATACTAATAATTGTTAATATTTAAAGATTCAATATTCTATGGGTTTACCTTCCGGTCTTAATAAAACAACCTGTACTTATCTTGGCGATATTGCTGTAATTAAAAAAGATAGAACTTGTTATGGAGTTAAAATGTGCGAATTTGCAGATTCAGAACTTCAGGAAATGAAACATAAGTCAGTAGATCCAGAATCAGATTTAAGATTAAAAATGATAACGTGAAAAATAATACTTTTGTGTAAGTATTTGCATAATATATCTATTATGCATAACAGCGATCATTTTTTATAAAATCTACTAATTAATTTTATTTTAGTAAATATTTAGCTGCATATAAAACTGAATGCTGATATATACAAAATGGAATTCAATGTACAGGCAAACCTATATTAAAATGTTTACGACGTCATGATCAAACAGTATCATCATCATATTTTATTGGTTATACTGGATGGAAGATAAATGAAAGATTTTATCGGTTTATTAGTATTAAAGAAAATATAGACCTAGTAACTTTTAGACGGATTATATGAGGTTAAATATAACTATATTAAATATTAAATTAATATTTTTATTTATTTATCTAAAAATTTTTTAGGAGAAATCAGATAAACCGGTAAATAACTGTTTTGCAGTATTTAGCAATAGTACAAAAAGAGCATATTATTGTAAGTTATTTAATCTTAATATATAATTTTTAAAATTTTACTGCTTAATTACTTAATTTATATAAAATATGTATTGGTAGCATATTTTCATCATTCTGGAAATATTATTAAGCAAGGATCACTTATAAAAAAGTCATGTAGAGTTAAATATTCTAAATTAATTCCTATTAATCTTGAAAATGTCTATATGTAATTTTTATATCAAAAGACATTCATACTCATCTACCGTCACCTTCAAATCAAATACCTAGTACTATTCATATACACTTACAAGAATTAATTTATCAAGCAAATAATAATAATACAAATGTTATTTCAACTCATATTATCACGGGTAAATAATTAAAAAAACATATTTATATTTATTTATTATATTAGATTTTTTTATTCAAAATTTCTTGGATTTATACTAAATGAATTTATTTTATTTAATAGAAAATTTAATTAAACATATTTTGGAATTGAATATCTTTCTGATATACATGCATCTTTAAATAATACTGATCGTTTTCAGTATTACGTTGATAGAATTTAAAAAGAAATTCATCCACAAGAACATGGATTGTTTGGAGTTATTTATAACTATTTACGTAATATTAATAATTTTCATGATTATGTAAAACATTTAGATAATATTAAAAATAAAATTTGTTTTTTTATTTATTTTATTTAATGGTAATTTAAATAAATAATATATTTATTATTAGAATTCTTTGAAGATAAATATATATTAATTATTTATACAACTCCTAACAATTAACTGAATAAACAAAATGCAAGCATTTTTAAATTGATTTATCTTTTAAATATATATTAGATGAAATGAACAAATTTGAAGTTAATTATTATAGTAATGAATACAGTAGCGGTCATAAGTATCCAACCACCTGAGATCGTCCAAAATTATTATATAACTACTCCTTAAATTTTTCAGAAATATAATGTAACACAATACATGATCACCTGTAAATTT